CACACACACACACACACACATACACATCCACGCATATATAACACACATATATTACACATACACTCGCAGTCTTCTCTCAGTCTCTCCTTACACATCAGGCACACACACAAAAAATCTTTCTATGTATATCCTTGTGGTCTTCAGAAGACGGAAAAAAAAAGAGTTCTTCTTATGTCTCTGTTCTTTAAGCAGGCTGAAGAATGTTATTGCCCACTTCTAGCAGGTCTTACATATATACTTCAAGAAGATAGTGTGCATTCTCTTTTGTGATTATTGAGCATAATTTTGCATAAATCATTCGTATAACAATAACAATATCAAATAACAAGCAGTAAATAAACCATCCTGGAGTCAACAGTTCGGAAAGGGTAAAACTAGCAAAAAGGCATCCTAAAAACAATTAATTACATATCTAATGCTCAATAATAAAGTAAAAGCATATACTGAGAGGATTAGCAAGTGGTGATGGCGGCAAACTGTCGAGACAACAACATGCTTCACATTATCACAATGAGAATAAAATGAGCAATGCGTAATTCCTAGTGAGAAACTTGACCACCTAGCCAGGTATACTGAATAATGCTGACTTGAGCAATGCCAGAAAATGCTTGAAAAAGGTGTTTAAAGTGCAATTGAAATTGGTTAAGACAGCCTTCCTTTTATCCAGGAGAAAAGTGGCTGCTTTGGCAGGACTGATCAAAATAAAGGAAAAAAAACATTCCTGGCTGAAGTCCCAAAGGGAGGCGGTTGCAGGGTAAGGACTGTTGTAAGGCTCATTAAAATGTTGTCGACTGGTCAACTTGGGTAAACAGTTGTAAAGACCAGAACAGCAGTTGAATGGATTATAATTTATGGTAAAGAGTCAGGTGATGACAGATTTGCTTGGCCATTCTGGAATGGTTTTGGGGACTGTTGGTTGATAAAATACATGTGCAGTGGCCACGGCCATGTAGAACAGGTTAAATGTCTTAGGCAGTGACAACATACAGAAAAAAATCCAAGGGGGAAAATGGAAAGTGGTCTATAGCATGAGTAGCTACTACATGTAGTTGTCTTATACAGATGGCCATCTGAGCAGGTTCAATTGTACTTTTGAATGAAAAAAACGTAAGAGGTTGATATTCAGGAAAATTTTTAATGAAAATTGATGCAAAATCCAATCTGTGGGCTGGTATTGCTGCCATTCCCAACTCTTTCGACTTGTCTTCATATCATATTAACTACAAGGTGCTATATGTGGCCTACCATCTAAATTAGAGTATAATCCCACCAATCAATGTTAAGCTGCTTTCTCATACATAAGTGACACTATATCCTACACCAAAAAAACCCACTTAAAACTCATAGAAATGAGCCAAAGTGGCGGCAGCATCAGCAACAAAAGAAAACTCCACAAGGTTGAGTCACAAAAGGCATAAAAATTATATGACCCCAAAACAATCAACAACAAACATTTAAAAAATCAACAATGTATGAAAGAAAGAAGAATGAATGAATGCATGTGAAAGAGATGCGCATGGAAGCAGTCATATTTTATAATGCATATGAAATACTTGTTACAAGTTTCTTGCACAAAACATTAGCACTTGGAAAAGAGCACTTTTAGTTCCCGAGTATAAAAACAAAACAGGCATATGACATAATATTACAATTGTATTAGACAATACTGTGGGATTGGGAAAGGATGGAGGAGGTTAGGGGGAAGGGGTGTGCAGATTTTGCTACCAATGTCTGACCACAAAGGTAGATGAATATATGGATGTATTTCACAAATTTCACTTTGGCATAGTTAAAGCTGCCATGGAAACACTGCAATCTTTAATTTCTGCTTTCAGAGATATATGTTATGGCACTAACACAACCGTAAAATGGAAGAATCAATCAGTCATTAAATCATCAGTCAAATAATGTAGGAATTAAAAATGACCATTCAATTAGAGTAATTAATTAATTGCAGTGAATCAGAGAATGGACGAAAAAATGAAAGAATGAATGAACAAACCAGAAAAAGAACTAAGGAAGGATGGAAGGACATTTGGTTCACCACATTCAAAATATCACATATTTCACAGGCAAGATTGCGGGTATAGATATAACAATGCTGGTTATAACTGAGATTCTAGGAAAGGGAGTTTTCATCTATCATTAATACTAATTTCTAATGACTGAAAGATAATTATAGTTAACAATATTTTTTTTATGTTAGCAATTGCCATGGGTAGAATCTATCAAATAGTTCTGATACGTGTACATGTACAAACAACAAAAGATGCAAAGATATAATTAATAAACTATATTACAATATCAACATTTGATATTAACAGCGATAATGCCATTATATCATAACTAAGTGCAATACGATGTTGAATAATGAAAGAATAGGCATATATAGGCCTACTGAAAACAAGCGCACAGCTCACACAGCACATATAAGACTCAACCCAGAAATGTCTATTTGAAATTAATTAACTCAATTTTGGATATTTTAACACATTTCATTTTCTTTTATTTTCATTACGTATTTCATTCTTCTCAATAAAGAAACTGATCAAACTTTCCATGAATAATAAATATTGGTGTTCTGAAGAATTAATTTGGTTAATCTCTCCCACTGTTAAAGTGGAGATGTAGATGATGAATAGAAGTAACAAAACGAAAGTCAATAAGTATAATAGTGTATTGCTCATTAAGTCTAATTCCTCCCATTGATAATGCTAATTTTCAACATATCGTTCGTAAAGATATCAATAATAGTGATCTCCAGGACCAATTTTTTAATATGTCCACATTACTAATTAGTCTTTTTCAACTCTTTTATAGCAAAGTTTCCGTTTTGCCATTTTTCATAAAAAGGTAAATATTTTCATTAAGTCCAACAACATATATTATTTCCAAATGAGGCACTTAAATAACACTTGTCACTTCATGGGTGATCCCTGCCACCCACCAAAATTATAAATCCCCTTCTGGTGGGCAAAACCACCCAGGTTGGCAAGCCCTAGCCTAAACTTTATCTTTCTCTATGTTAACAAAGAACAAAGTGAATGGTTACAGGCCCTAATTAGCTCCTGAATACATTTTTAAAAATTTGGCACAACCTATTCCCAAGGGAAAAAATCACCTTTTACAGTAAGTCCAAGATGTAAAATATTAACAGTAGAAAGAATATGTCCTTGTATACAGCTTAAATCGATTAAATAACATGAATAAATGTGGGACGATGTGATGGAATCAGGCACTCGTCAGTTTTTGGGAAAGTGGAGTTATTGATATCACCTGAAAGCTTATTCATTTGCCTTACTTTCAATAAGGAGAATGGGGGGGGGGGGGGTAGCCTGGTTTCAGTGGTTAAAATTAAAGAGAAAATGGCCGTCAAAGTTTTGCAACTTCAATAGCTTAAGAGTCCTTGAAAACTGAAAATTATTTTAAACAGGGGTTTTCAGTAAAATTCACATGGAAATGTGTTTTCATACAAACATAAAAGGTGTTTAGCCAAAAACAAAATTTCGATAAAAATTGCCCAACTTGTGGAAAAATGCTTTTTTCTCCGATTTCATTATTTTGACGAGCGCCTGATTTCACCACGATGCCTCACAAATCTGTATCACTTTCCATCAAGCATAAACCAGCACATCAACAGGTTATCATCACGTCACTAAACTAGCCATACATGAATGGCTGGGTTTATCATTCTCTTTCAACATCGCTATAAACATCGAAACTGTTTTCTATCACACTTCTAAATGCTGCGTCTTGTGGTGCTAATTGGGAATTAGAGAACAAGTAGATGAGAAAACACATAAAAATGAATCAAAGATTCATCTGCCAAAGCAGACCTCCACGTGAATGAAAACACAAAACATTGTCAATTGCAGACAATAAAGAACTTTATTCCTTTGAGCTGTCGGATTATCACTCATACACAAACTCATCTTTATCACTTGTCCGTGGTCTAATGGTAAGGCTCTCATGAAGACTTTCAACCATTAAGTTATGGGTTCAAATCCCGTCAGGGGTCCGACATATTCTTGGGAAAGGCACTTCACATAATTTGTCCCCACTTCACCAAGCTGGGAATGGGTACCTGATTATAGACAGCGCACAATCTTGCCAGTTTGCGTGCGCTTTAGCATGTAATGTGTAATCTACAGCTTGCACTATATGCTTCCTGGGATGCCAAGAATGTGATCTTTCTGAGTGGTTTAGGGTCTGCTGGGGTAATAGTACTTGCTCAGGATAGAACATGCTGTTGAACACAAGTACTCATTATATAAATGGAATTACTATTTTTATCATTATGAAAACTCTTTCTCTGCTAATTTTCTGGGTTAAAGTTAACTTCAATCTTTCATTTGAAACCTATTGACCTACTATGCATATCCAGGGTCTTGGACCAACAAGGGTATAGCCGAGGCATCATGCACCAAAGACAATTTTGATTTATTAAAAGAATCGGGAGCCGAAGTAAACCGTTATCCTTTTCAGCTATCTTTTATGGATAACGAAGGGCTATACCTCACTGGGCACAACCTTCTATTCCAGCCTAAAAGCCACTTTGGAATCCGGTTATCTTTTTATTTTCTCTCTCTTTTTTACAGTATAATACAGTAAACCACATCAGCAGGTCCTTATACATATAACCAGCTTTTACATTTTACTCCTGGATCTGAACTGTGAGCTTCCAGCTAGATTAACGCATTCTGTCCTGTGATCCTAACCCTGACTCCCTATAAAGTGACATACTTTCCCTGGGATCCGAACCTTGGTCCTTGATATCCACTTATTCCAAATCCAACATCTTTACGCTCTCTTCTCGCATGACAAACTTTTGAGCTTTCCCAGTGAGAGTCTTGGGGAAGTCCTCCACAAACAAGATATACTTAGGGATCTTGAACTTGGCCATCTGTGGATGTAAAGATGAGGTGATGGGGGATTCATAGACAGCTCAAGGGGTGTAACAGATTTATTTCTCTATGCTCTTTTTGTTTGAGTAAAGACAAGCACATCTTCAAAACAATTGCAATAATGTAGGCCATGAAAGACAAGACAGACATATAGACAGACAGACAGAAACAATAGAGAAACAGAAAAGAAGAACGTCTTACCAGTGGCACCCTCCACCAGTATAAAAGAAATAACTTCATGGATAAGTAATATACTCATGATGTTTAAGTTTGAATATTTTTATGCAGGGTGTTTCCCTCAGCAAGATATCTCAAGAACTGAGGCTAAAAAAGCACGGTGCCGCACAGTGATGACCAGCAATGAGGTGTTTGTTAAATTGTCTGTACTAGTAGGATAATATTGTGATATTATAATATTGTGATACTGTCTATTACTGTCTGAGATGATAGGTCTTTGAAAGGGTTATATATAAGATATGATCATGAAGGGGTTAATGCTGAAAAAAGCACAAAAAAAGCTTTAAGACAGACAAATATCAAATAAACCATTTTGCGATAGTTACTCTTACCTTTTCTAAACAGAACGTCTTCACTTCCTCCTCTGTCAGAGTCATATTCTCCTTGACCACAATCCAGGCACAGACCTGTTCCCCAAGACGTTTGTCCGGTACACCAATCACCTGACCATGGGGAAAAAAGCACTCAAATAATCATGCACAAGAGCAGGTGACAAAGGTTCAAATCCTCAAGGGGGGCATTCTTCTTAAACTTTTAGTTTCGTTGTAGAAAGCGTTTTATGACACTTGCAACACAATAAGGTCATATAAGTTCCAAAGGTTAGTAGAGGTGTTATAAGAGAGTAACAAACACAAAGAAGGAGCAAAACAAACCAGAGCACCCGCCAACCATTCACTTTAATAAACTTAGGTTGATTGATGGTATAATTTGGCTTTCTTTCTATTTGACTTGATCCTTTTGGGAGTGGATGATAAATCAAAGGAAAAACCCCCAATAAAAACAATAACCATAAGGCAGTGATGGCACGAAAAAGGGAGGCTGATAGACAGCAACAACAGAGGGAGAGTACGGAAGCAGGACCTACTACAGGAGCCCTCCAACCCCCCGCCAAACCCTATGGTGTGTGTCAGTGTTAACAAACCCACACCATACCAAACCAAACAAAAAGCATTCCTATCAAAGATAGGATACAACAGAGTTTATTAACTTTTTTTCACGCAATGTTCTTGAGAATGATAAAAAAATCTTCTCCTTATGGCTCTTTTGTTTTCAAATATCATTGAGAACATAGGATTTTAGATGTAAGTACACAAGAACCTTTGGTTTTCTTCTCCCTCACTGCTTCCATCAACTCCGCTCTGCCTCCCCCACACCCTTCTCTACCTCTCCCCTCCTTCCAACCAAACCTCCCTCCCCTTCCTACACACACATAAACACCTGCATCTCACTGATGCAAACGTTTGTCACTTTGGGATGTTCAAAAAGCTCATAAAGCAGTGTCCTGGTTTATTTCCATGGATAGATGTTGCTCCTCCTACCCTCCTTGCCCTAACCCCTACCCATATCTACTACTGCCAACCCATACACTCTTCCCTGCTTCCCACTCACATGAATGTCCTCCTACATATAGCACCTGCTTTATCTCCAGTGGATGGATTTCGCTCCTCCCTCAACATCATCTCCCCCAGCCCTCCATCCCCACCATCACTAACCCCCCTTCGAACCATCCCCCCCTTACTATTTCCAGCATGTAGAGGTCCCTCAGCCCAACACACAAACATTACTTGGTTACTTGGTTGGAGATTAGGTATCACCAAATGTGGTACAATGCCATAGCTGCTCTTCCCTCCTCTCCAGGATCTATGAAAGGGTTGGCTTGCTGCTTGTGTCAGTTATCAGCCGCTTGGATATTCTTCTGACACAAACATACATCAACCTCATTCCCCATCCCCCCTCCTCTATACCCCACTCACCTGAACATCCTTCACACTGGGATGTTCATAAAGTGCCTGCTCTATCTCCAGTGGGTAGATATTCTCCCCTCCACGGATCACCATGTCCTTGATCCGACCCACAATGCTGCAGTAACCGTCCTCCGTCATCACACCCAGGTCTCTGATGGACGACACAACAGATACATATGTGAGGCATCACGGTGAAATCAGGTGCTTGTCAAAATAATGAAATAGAAGAAAACGTTTTTTTTTCAAATTTTGGTTTTTTGGCTCATCACCTTTCTTGTCTATTTAAAAACATATTTCGTGGTGGATTTTACTGAAAAACATTGCTTAAAAGCACAAAAAGGTAAATTTTCAGTTTCCAAGGACTCAAAATTTGAAAGTCCCCATACTTTGGAGGCCATTTTCTTACTAATTTTTCCATTGGAACCAGGCAAGACCACCTCCTTTAATGGCAAATATCTCAACTTCAATTTTGAGATAATTTTCTTCATTGAAAGCAAGACAAACAAACAATCTTTAAGATGTTACGAATAACTCAACATGCCCAACAATTAACGAGTGCCTGATTTGTGACACATATATATTTGTTTTCCCAGAAGTTTATATGTATGAAAGGAAAATCGGAAGGAGATATAAGGAAAGAAGATTGGTAGGAGGGGAGGGAAGGAGGGATTTAGGGTGGTGGGGGTGGTGGAAAGGAGAGTAGGAATGCTTGAAAACAGAATAGCCAGAGGAGTAGCATTTGAAAGACTGAAGAAAACAAATGGCAATCCAACATTTTTGATCACATGGTGGGAGTATAAAAAAACCCAACCTCTCTGAGTAGGAATTCACTTCCAATGAACTTGTTCCACATTAATCCATGATCTGTCATTGGAAATTACCCCACTCTTCCCACTCACCCCCCTCCCCCCCTTTGCACCCCAGTCTGTGTAAAAAAACCCCAAAAAACCCAACAAAACAAAAACAACCCAAATTCAACAAAATTATGACACCATCATCTTCCATTTTATTATATTTACTTTAATTTGTTGCATGAGAAGACTTCAACTTTCAATTTTTACATCAGATTGTCTCCTTACAAACACAAACTTCTTTCCTACATGGTTGGAGCTGTACAGTTATGCACTACATCAAGGGTTCTTAACTTGAGTTTGATAGAACCACAAGGGGGTTTGGTGAGTAAGTCTCACGGGTTTTGTGTGGAGTGTGTGTGTGTGTGTGTGTGTGTGTGTGTGTGTGAGTGTGTGTGTGTGTGTGTGTGTGTGTGTGTGTGTGTGTGTGTGTGTGTGTGTGTGTGTGTGTGGGTGGGTGTGTGTGTGTGTGTATGTGTGTGTGTGTGTGTGTGTGTGTGTGTGTGTGTGTGTGTGTGTGTGTGTGTGTGTGTGAGTGTATGAGTGCCCCTGTTCTGTTCACCCCATTTGAAGAGTTCTGTGAATGCACATATGAAACTTGAAGGGTTCAGCACCTCCAATAAAGTTAAGCGCCACCGCCCGAGGCAGTCAAGTCACCTTGCATGATACCATCTGTCCATCCACATATGATACAATTGGTCATGTAACTTACTCCAAATAATAAACCACTGGCCTTATGAATAATCTTATTTAGAATCCCCTGCTCAACAATTTTACCTGTAAAAGTAATATTGATTAGACTGCTTGGCATCCGTTTTCTGACCCCACACTGAACTCCTGATATGATATTTTACTCCTAAAGTCCTAATTATCATGTAACACACCTCATCCATATGATACCATCTGTCACGGGACTTTCCTTATATGTTACCACTTGCCATATGACTTACCCCGTATAGTATCATATGTGTCACGACAAGGTGGAATCAGCAGCTCATCAATTTTTGCGCACATAGGGCTATTGATTAGAAGTCAAGATGTTTGTGACTGAAGATGTTGAGGGTTCGGTTGGTATCAAATTATGTACAATTAGCAAGAAAATTTGGTTACTTCCAAAGATGAGTGTCCTTAAAAAATGCAAATTTACATTTTAATGTACCTTTAATCAATGTTATTCAATAAAATTGGCATAGAATTGTCTTCTTAAATGGGCATCATAAGTCTTATCCCGAGACATGCAACTCGTCCCGTATGATATCATACATTTGTAATGTGACTTAACCCATTTACTCCGAGCGGCCGCTCCCAGTGGCCAAAACTTCAACCCAAAATGAAAAGTAACCACTCCCAAAGGCCGGTGTAATGCATACAGATGTAACAATTATCGGGAGTTTTTCCTCTAAACAGCTATGAATGTAAATAAAACTTTATGCGAAGCTTCACTGAGGGAAGTAATACACTCCTTTGTCATTCTGTTCTTTGACTCGAGTACAAGCATATATTCTATTCTTTGGCTAGAGTACAAGCATATATATTGTGAAAGAATAGAGTTTAGTTGTAAAAAAAAAAATCAATTTTGTCAAAATATGGAATTCAAGTCTGGCCTCATACAGCATCATAGGAATTGTGACTTGCCCAGTGACAAGTGAATTCCCTCCTCCGCCCCCTCGACCCTCCCCCCCTCAACAGGTGGTTGGGGGAGCTCTGGTGTGGTAAGCTCTTTCTTTCCTATCAAACATCTGTCCTCCTTATCTCCCTTCCTTCTTTTTGTGTTTGTTGCTCCCTTGTAACACCTCTAATCTTTGGCACTTATACAACCTAATTGTGATGCAAGTGCAATAAAACTCTAACTAAAAAGAATTACTCCCTGACACGTGACTTACCCCGTATGGTACCACCCTTCAGAAGAGATGGCCTGGGCCGTTTTCTCTGGGTCCTCCCAGTAGCCCAGCATGGTGGAGATTCCCCTGGTACAAACTTCCCCGGCCTCTCCCACAGGCACCACTCGCCCCTGGCTGTCTATTACCTTGGCCTGAGGGGATGATTGGTCAGCTTGTTTATTTGGGTCCAATAGAAGCATATCGACAAAATAATGACCATTTAGAGGTGGAAAAAAGTTAAGCATGGTTAAGTTGTTTATTTGGGTCAAATAGAAGCATATTATTGACATTATCATGACCATTTAGAGTTGGTAAAAAGTTAAGCATGGTTAAGTTGTTTATATGGGTCAAAGAGAAGCGTATCGACAGAATAATGGCCATTTAGGGTTGGACAAAAGTAAGACAGATAGACAGAAACTATAGTGGGATGGTGAAGAAGTAGGTCCTACCAGTGACACCTACCAAGTGCCTATTCAAAAGGATATATAAAACACGGCGTCACTTTTCGCCCGATTCTGTTACTTTTAGTTAGCGTGACTCAGCAGCCCGCCGGAGCTCCCCGGCTCGGGGTCACGGGGTTAATGAGCCCTGAAGCGACTTTGCCAGTGTCGGTCAGGAAGTTCTCATTTTTGACATTGTTTAGAACGATATAACTTCTTCCCCATCCCACACAGCAAACCATTACGCGGATGTGCTAAAAGCTCAATGTCTTGAGATTTATTCTGCGTTAGAATGATTAATTTCTGTGCCTTAGTTTTTCTTCTAGACAAGAGTTTGTAGAGTACCCAATTTGTCCCATTATAGTTAGAAACTTATGAATAAATGATTGTTAATTTTAAAAAGGCACGACAGATCTCTCCAAAATCGAATATCATGTCTTTTACCATGAAAAATCTTAAATCTGCGCTAGTAGCAATAGTCAAGTTATAAGAGAAGAAAGATGCACATCTGCATTTTTTAAGTAAAGACGATCAGCGTTAGCTCTTATTTTACTATTAAACAAAAGAAAGTTACTCTGTGGTTGTTCATGAATCATGCAGTGTCTGTGGCAGCCTGCATACAACTAAAAAGATATAATATATAGGCGATTCAAAAAACCCACAAAACCGTGTAAACACATGGGTAGAGATAAACTTCTTGTATGGAATAAAAATAATGACAGGTAACACATTCATTCTTAGTTTTTGTGTCGGAAATATGCGAGGACACAATTATGAATGTAAAGAAATCAGTCACATTGTCAGTTATTGCAAATGGTCATAGAAACGAAAAAATAAGCTGGAAAAGTCTGGTGCTGATTCAGTGTCCCTAAAAAGCTAGAAATTATTCTTATAACCCAATGACGAGAAGTCATCTCTATTATTCAATCAACTTACAAAACCTAGACTTAGCGTTTTAAGAAAAGTAAAGAATTTCTGGAGTGTAACAGAAACTGTTCGTGTATTACATTGAAGTTGTATTCTGGCACTAAAATCGATTTGTACTTTTCATAGAGAAACTTCATGGTAACTTTTATAAACTTTCGAGAAAATATGCGAATATTCACGATTCTATTAGACACATAAAGTTGTATTTGGAGGAATTACTTTATAGCGAATTGAGTGCCCGATAGATAAAGTTGCAAAATTACAGTTTTCTATTATATGCGCAGATACCATCTTTTCTGAGTATCTACACCAATGCTATGTCGTTCATTTTCCAAAAGTTGGACAGATTTTGTCAAGGCCTTTTTTTTATATTGATTTTTTAAATTCACGCTAGTCCAAAAAAAATTTCACTTTAGCATTGCCAACTCCAGCGCGTCTAACGAAACAACTAGATAAGTTACAACGTCCATTCTTTTTTGAGTCTCAAGAGCAGAAATACATGCTTTGGGTGCACTAAATGAGAATTACCATAAATACCAGGATACACCTAAAACTGTACGTTGAAAAGCACCAAAAATCAAGTCGGCCCAGACAGAGCGGCGACAGGTAGCTGACCCCCGTGACCCCGACGTGATAAGGCGCCCGGCGGGGAACCCCGCAGCAACTAAAATTCCACTGCCGGTGCGCCGTGAAAAACAACAGTTCAATACTGTAGTCGTTGAAAAGTACAGGCCTTCAGGTGGCGAGCTACTACCACCTACTCAAAAAGATTTAAAACAAACAACAAAAGGATAGATGAGAAGGAAGAAGGACGTACTAGTGAGAACTTGCAAGTGTCCGTCAGACGGGAGGAAACAGTCTAGTTAGGCTCTCGGACTCGCAATCGTAAGTTTGTGGGTTCGAATCCCGTCAAGGGCCCGACAATGTGTCCTTGGGAAAGGCATTTTACACGAATTTTCCTCACTTCACCCAGGTGGGAATGGGTACCCGGCTATAGACAGCGAAAGATCTTGTCAGTTTGTTAGTGTTTGAGCGCTTAATCGGCTGCTGGCACTGTATACTTTCCGGGAAGCTGAGACTGTTTCGAAGTGTTCTATGGTCTGCTGGGGTAATAATATAGTGTAAAGCGCATAGAGCCTGCTGCTGAGCGGTGATATGCGCGATACAAATGCTATTTATTATTATTATTATTATTATTAGTTATAGCAGCTACTGATAAGACGGCTTTGTCTGTTGTCAAAACTTGTTAAGTACCCTATTATTTATAGTGGTATGATTCCTATATTACGAATCTCTACCATACCCACTATATACCCACCTCACCCTCAAACCACCCATCTAATGTCCACTAGATACCTGTAGTAAAGTTACCTGGCGGTCCGATGAGTCTTGGTCTTTCAGGGGCCCCCCATCCAGGATCGGTGTTGTCGCTATCTCGTCCTGTGCTCGACTAACTCTCGGTGAGTGTCTCTCAGACGACGTCGGCCTATTTCCCGCTTCTCAATCTGACGTCATCCAAAGGCACGCTACTCCCTTAATTATACTGTCCCATAATAATGATAAGAGTCATGTCCCCTGACATCACAGATACCCACCTCACATCTAAAGAACCCAGGGGCGAAGGCTGACTTGTTTGACAGGGTAATCAAAGTGAAACGGGACCAGATCTATATGGCCTGTAGATATCACATAAGAATCTTACTCGAGGCAGTGACTCTGACTGAGTTGTAAATGAAAACAAATCCGGAATTCATATTGTATGTTCAACCGCCAAAATAATCGGGAAAGTATCTTATTAAATATCAGTTCCAACTAAAATTAAATACATAAACACAAAGCAAAGAAGCAGAGATGTCAGTACTAGATCTACATGTTATAGAACTACCAGAGAGTCTAACTCTTTGGTAGAACATGACAATTATCATTTTTTAAATTTCACATTTGGCTTTTGCGGCCAGGAGCTGGTGTCATAATCGAGGTCACGATCTGATTATAGGACAGTAAAAAGTCGAGGGAAAAAAACAAGCACATGCAGCAGTAAAGAGATTGTTAGGAGTTAGTTCCCCTCACATTTGTGAGGTAGACTCGACCAGTGTTCGTTAGCTTACTTAATCAGGGCTTGGGATTGATTTTAACTGTGGCCCCAAAGGGGTGAACAGGGTACATGTGGCAATGAAACAGCCATGACTGCTATGCACATGTTCCCTCAACTGTATTGGTAGATTCTTTCAGCCTCACTTTAAGCTTACTTAATCAAAGCTTGCGACGGATTATGGAGTGGCCCGAGAGGGGTGAGGAGGCTATTTATGTGGCCGTGAAACCGTTTTGAATGTTAGGCATGCTCATTGTGGATTACGAACCTCTTTTTACTTTTAATTTAAGAGGTTTACGTTTAAGGATGAATTTGACAGCGACAATGTTTCAAAATTAGGAAGGGAAGCAGTGATTATTTGATTATATAGACGCTTCGCCCCTGAAAGAACCCCCGCCTCACCCTCAAATGACCCACCTCTGTGTGATCCAGAAGTTTCCCTACTGTGGACACTCTCCTGTCCAGAGAGCACTGGGCAGTGGACTGGAATGTCACCGGACTGGTCTCTGTGGAGCCATAGCATACCTGGGGGGATGGGATTGGGAGGGGGGGGGGGACAATATTAACAGGATGTACACACATAAATGGGTTAGTCATGCATGTGAGCGAGTGAGTGTGTGTGTGTGTGTGTGTGTGTGTGTGTGTGTGTGTGTGTGTGTGTGTGTTGGAAAAAGAGAGAGAAAAACAGAGGGAGAGAGAGAGAGAGGGGGGGGGGAGAGAGAGAGAGAGAGGGAGAGAGAGAGAGGGGGGGAGAGAGAGAGAGAGAGAGAGAGAGAGAGAGAGAGAGAGAGAGAGAGAGAGAGAGAGACAGTTACTTGAGAATGTTTCTACTGTGAACATGAAAATGTTCTTACAATTTACTTGGAAAGGTTTACACAATTAACAAGGGATTATCCTTTAGTTATTTAGTTACCTTGAAAATCGAACTTGGAAAAGTTCATACCGTTATTTTTTCAATATTCATTTTCCCAACAAGATCCTTCATGGTCTCGATGGGGCAGGGCGAGCCAGCTATGATGCCAGTGATGAGAGAGGAGGTGTCCACTTGACCAAACAGTGGGTGGTTGAGCATGTCAATGAACATGGTAGGGACACCGTAGAGGGAGGTACACCTGTACAAGAGAAGGATAGGGAGAGGTGGAGTTGGGGGGGGGGGGGAGGAGAAGAGGGTTAAAATGGATGGGGGGGGGTTGGGGGGGGGGAGGGAAAAAAGTTGGGGAAAGGAAAAATGGGGTAAAAGGGGGGGGAAAGAAGGGGAAAAGGGGTGTTGGGTGGGAGGGAAAAAAAGGGGGGAGGGGGGGTTGGCATTAAAAAAGGGATCCGGGATGTGAGGTGGAAATGTATGTCCAACCCTTTATTGGGTCCATGAAGGGTCCGGTAGGGGGGGGAAAATAAAAACCTGCCTTATTTCCCACGGAGACTTCTTACCTACCGAAAGGTGGTGGTTTTTTAAACTAACATACATACCCCATCTTTTTTTTTTC